GGTATAGTAATGAACGAATCTGCAATCAAACCGAAGGTGTCCTAGGGTTTCTTGCTAAGGGGAAAAAAGAAAACACGCTCTAGGACGTTCTTTTTGCTATTACAATTCCAACATCATGGCATGCGAGAATGGGGATGACCTCGACCGACACGTTCTTTGAAGATGTCATTTTTCGAAACTGAGCGAAGGAGTGCACAAAATTCGGTTTAGAACTTACCTTAGTCTCCTTCTGCCTAGCATAGCGTTGGATCACGTGCACTAATCACGATCATATAGTTTCAAAATGTCATTATCAACCTCAGGGAGGCAAGACGTATCGTGATTCCACGAACTTCTCGGTCCAGCACTTTTTGCCGCGATCGGATAGAACAGATTCAAAAACATGGCTTGACTTCTTTCCTGTCGGGTAGCCAATATAAGCTTACACGATATTTACTTGGTCGCAAAGCATAATACGCTCAGGGATGGCATATCGATTCCACATCTTGAGTATAACCAAAGCAAAGGACGCCATTGATTTCAATCCATCCGCAGAACATCCGCTGCTTCGGCACCTATAATGCAGTACGCTTGTTACCCTGTCCAGTATACATGCTGGTACAGTGACCACATTTGGACAACGGAAATCTACCATCACATATCTAAAACGAACTAGACTAGCAACCTAATGAAAGAAATGAGCTTTCTGATGGGACACTAAATGTACAACACGAGATTAACGTCTCTAGAAAAGCCTGTCCTATTCGCAGGCCGTAATGTAAACAGCTAGGCAGAAAACTTGAGTGAGCTGCTCTCTGAAAGGAGAACGTGCACTTTTGTGCATTACCGATTAGAGCCCTTAAGACTGCAATCATTCTCTTCAGCTCACCCTAGAAGTGAGCGGTCTGGGAAAGATACGCGTTTGGTGTTTGAATAGAGTTTATTTGACGGACATCGTGAAGGATAGAGTGCCGACTATGAAAAGCTAAGACAAAAATGGTCCAAGACAAACTGGCAACCTGAATAAGAGGTTTACAGGAATGAACCAAATCGGGCTTCTATAGGCTTGTTAATCGTTCAGCTGTAACACCCATTTGATTCATAACTGCCATACTAACAAAGGAAGTGCGAGAGCTGAGATATCACCGCGCTGCCAAGCATAGACAAGAGCAGTCAAAATGAGTGGGGGTAAGTTCGAACCACGGACCCTCCGGTTAGTAATTTCGCGCCTTAACCAATAAGCTGTTACAAGCCTAGGCTTAAGCGATGGCAATGCACTGTTTACCAACAGCGGGTTTCTTCCCACACACAACTTTGCAGGAAATCTCTCTCCCTCGGCACGAGCAACGTTACATCAGGGAATTTCGGTGATACAATGACCTGCTTCTTTTCCGAATGAAAGAGTCAATCCGAAGGAACGGTATGCTTTCAATTAGCTCTTCGGTGCCTTAGTAGCAACATGACCAGTATCGGCCTTGAAGAGACTCGTCATATAGGACTGAGAGGAAAGCTGAAGCAATCTATCCCTGCGGGGAACATAAGAAATCCATATTTCAACCGATTCGAAAAGTGTGTTTTACTCAGCTTAAATCGGTCACATTTGTTTGGGGTCCCGCAAACTTGTTAAATTTGAGAACAAGCTCAAAGTTGCTTGGAGAATAGCAAGTGATAAGTTCATATCCTTTTAATAAAAACACGTTCGGCGGCTAGTATTTTGATACAGGCCACGTAAGAATGAAGAACTTGCATAACGGGATGCACTCCAATGACCGTTTATTGTTTGTGCTTAACGTAAAAACTCGACACATACATACATACATACACAACTAGCGAAAGCAATTCGGTTCTATGTTCACTTGGATGTCTCAGATGAAATGCGTCCCTGCTTGTGCGCATCGCATTGACATTCATTCTCCAGTGATATGATGGAAGCGATACGGACAATTGTTAATTCAGTTAGTACGAACAGCTCTCTCAGCTGAAAAATATATAAGTCCTTATTTGAAAAAAAATCACACACTAGTGGGACTTCGTCATCCGCATGCTACACTTGCATACTGTATGTAAATTCATAGGACGGTAGTCCACAGAGATGGGAGAGAAATGCGAGTTGAATGTGATAGTCGGACCTAATGGAGAGGAACCGTCATCACATAGCGACTGGGAGTATACGTGAATCTTGGTCTGAATGGGTACACTGTTCGCGCCCAATTATGGGTGACTACCAACTAACGACGAAATGGCTCATTCCCATCGTCTTTCAGTGATTGGGCAACGGCTTATGAGGATTTACGAAGATCAAATAACCAAAAAATACTGGAAACGCTTGAGGTGTCTGTTGAGTTCACACGGGAGGCACAGTATGTGATCTTCCAAAATGCGTTTCTAATTTTGGCTCTTTTCAGGGATAAGAGATATCCCACCTTACATACTGTATCATCAGTACTAGTGGATACCCTCCTATGGTTGCATGGTCATCTGCTAACCGCACCCCACGTAATGAAGATTTCAAATTTATATAAACATCATCTATCGCACCTTGATTGGGATAGTAGAGAGATTTTGTATGGTTGGCCACATTATACTTGCAGTTCCCGGATAAACACCCACCAGAGAGTTACGGTTTGCGAGCATCAGTGCAATAAAATTCGATATGGTTGAAAAAAAGCATAAGCATCACATTGTGTAGCCATGGCTATGTGTGCCATACATAGTCGTTTTGAGCACTGACCTATTTAGCTAACACGCGAGTCTTTGAGTCAACCTATCGGGTAAGAACGATGTGGTGCTGAGACCCAAGGAAACATTAAGAAAACCAGGAAGGGCGTACCTGATCGTTTCCAGAACGGCCTTGAAATTGTTCTCTTTGGGTTTACGACGAACCAATACATTGAAGGTGTCGTAGAGGTCTTCCGGGTTGTGTTGATCTGCCTCCGCTGCCTGTGCCTCAAGCGCGCTAATTTCTTCTGCGGACCGACCTTCTCGCTTCGCTCGGACGACCTTCGCACGTAGAACTTCACCTCGCGTCTGCTCAGCCTTCAAACGCTCTGCATCCATTTGGTATTGGGCTGGATCCAGACGAACGCGCCAGGTGGGCAATGTATCCATAAGGTTGGGCTTTTCACCACCTAAGAGACGTGAGCGAAGAGTGGAAATGTGATTGCGCATAAAACAGATCAATGATGCATGAACATTTAAATACGCCCCAGAATACTTTCACAATGGAACCAAAAAAAACCATGGGGCTGCGATCATCCTCCATAGGTCCAGCTAGCTGCTCAACGATACGGATAACTTCAAAGGATTAGAAAATATATGGTCAGACCAGGAAAACGCCAGCCGTCCGGGGCCTGTATTTTTCATTGAGGCTCGACAAACGGGCCTACGCGGATTAATGACGTTCTTTATCAAAGACTTCAGACTGTGCAGCTCAAAACCAAGGGCTCTGAAACTGATTTGCGTATCCTATGGATTGGCTATGGTAGCTATTCGAATATGACAATCTTAACAGTATACCAGGATTCAGAGTATCTAAACAGGGCGACAAAACACACATCGAAAATTACAACTAGCCCTTAACGATAGAATACTAGCATAACCAATCAAATTAAAATAACACCACTTTGTCATGAAAGCGTCAAACCGGATCTTCAATGTCAACCGATGAGAGGCCCAGCGACTTTTTCTTCTGCGGTGGGAAGGGGTTGGGTAGGGACATCGGTGGACATCGAACTGTGCGGGCAAATCATACTTCCTGGTTGCCTAGGCCGAGGAAGGGGGTTTGGTTGAGGTACCCCACCTTGAGCCTTTGACTCAGAAGTCTGACCCACAAGGCAGTGGGACAATGTAGGGTTTTGTTCGGGGACCCTGCCTGGAGCCGACGACTCAACAGTCTGACCTGCTCGGCTGCAGGGGATTGGCCTAACCCGAGGGGGCAGGGAATAAGGCATTACTGTCTCATTCCTGATGCGGCTGCGCACAGCACGTGGAAGAAAGCCAGAGGCGGTCAAACAGTGACTTGGCAGCGAAGTGTGAAAGCCATCATCAGCAAACTCAGTTGCGTTGGTCATTGCCGTCTTCCTGGAAGGGGACCCCGAGACGGTCCACATCAATGGTTAGAGACATTGTCAGCCATGGCCCAGTTGCGCCCTCAATGGCGCTCGTGCATCCAGGCTATTGCCTTCAATGCATAGCTCCCTTCCAAACCCCCCTCCACTTAACAGCCCCCTGACAGTGCTGGATTTATGCAGTAATTTATTTCACGCCTGCAATACGAAGCTGCCTACCCCCCCCCCAAATCATCGATGAACGAAAGTGCGGCAGCTACAACTACTGTACGACGAATACGTGATTATAACAGCTGACAATGATGATGATGACCGATAAGAGACAAAACGAGGACAGGGGACAGCTCTGGCCACTAGTGTACAGCTATACAGGAAATTTTTCAAAAACCAGAAAAATCAAGAGACCACCTCACCTTTGGTAGGCAAGAAGCCAAGACGCTCTTCATCGGGAACAAGTTTGCCCTCCTTGTCGACTTGACCTTCAATCTCACACCCACGGACATAAACAAGTCCAACTTGGGGAACAAAATGTTCTGCGGGCTCGTATCTAAAAAATGATGTAAGAAATTTGTTGTTATCAACTGTGGCACGTCAGAGAGTATGCAATCACTAAATTATATGAGGAAAGTATATGCCAATTCCTTAATAATACACTAAGGGGCCACGCCGACCGGAGCATCTCTGACCACGGGAGAAGCCGGAAAGTGGAACCAATAAAGGACACGTGGTTTTCCAGAGGCGTTGGAATGAGGTCAGAGTGAGCATTAGGTTCACAAAGAAACAGTCAATCATGAAAGTTTAGGGTAAGGATTAGTATCCTAATGTCAGCCAAACAACCGTGGATATCCACACACAGACACCTCAAATGTGGCGACGGAATTAATCAGCAAAAAATTTAAAACTGAATCGCTGTTGGTAACTTTAGAAACAACGTCTACAAACAGATAGTCTTCCTTACTTCCAAGCTTGTTGTTTTGTTGGCCGGATCGTGACCAGAAATACAGGATCGTGACGTCTGAGTCCAAGCCATTCTTTTCGTATTTCCGGCCGAAGTCCTGCCAACGCGACCCTAACATCGGCTCTTACACGGGCCGGATGGTTAGCTCCCAGGTGCGGCTTGGCAACCTCTACAATGTTGAACGACTGGATTGGAAGAGCCATGCGTGACCAGCCGTCAAACACCGCTTGTCCAAGTTCACCTCGCCAGGGCTTCAAACGCATAATAGCATCCTCAATGTCCTACATAAACGGGTAAAACAGAACATTGGAAAGGCATCACGATGTAGTGAAATTCTAGAAAAAAATATGAAAACGAATCGCACTTCGGACACGGAGGTATAAAAGAACTAAAACCACTGTTGAAATGCTCATCTGCGTGCTGCCGATCACACTATAGGAATTCTAATAGAACCGGTACTACGGAAACCATCTAACTTGTGACAAGCCCATAAAAGAACAAATAAGGTCCCATCGGGACGTACGTACAGTTAAGGATTAAAGCCACAGAAAACGGTGAAGCGTGTTAAGAAAACTGACTACACAAAAACCCGAATGCTGTGTTTAAGAACTTGCAGTCAAAAAGTCAAGATAAATGAGAGAAGACCAATTTTTCCACCCGTACCAAAGGGGGCTACCATGATACATCTGGATATCTGGAAAAAACTTTCGTTCAACCTAGTTTTCCCCAGCTCTCCTCAACCCCACTGAAGAACCTGTCGTATATTCAGTCTCTACGTAAGAATATTGTCCCAAATCTCGTGGTCTTCTCACTACACCGAAGAATACAAGTGACTGTTGGATCCTCGAATTCAAGCTACTAACGGCTGGTATTCGAGGAAACTGTTTGCCGACGACATCCGAGTAGGAAGGCGTCCAGTTCGGTTAAATGAGTTATTGAACGGCAAGAAAGTGCATTGGGAAACCTGAGTGGTTGACCTCCATTGACCAGATGCATAATAGAGCAGTCGACCATAAGCCCCTTAAAGGACAGCTAGCAGCACGCCATGCTATGTTACCATAATGGGTAGATTCCGTACCGTAGAAAAGTCTTGAAGAGCTGCTACTCTGTTAAAGCCCACGAAAATATCTCAATCTGACCATAAGAAGGTTTACTCTTATTGTATTCTGATACACATGTTTTTGAGGACACGGCCTAAAACTGTGAGCGCAATTCTGGCTTAGAGAATTGAGAGTTGACCTCGCTTGTCCCACATTCCATCACAGCTAATGGAACTTTCGAGATACATATGGTGTCTCAACCTCCAATGTCTCTGAATAGCAGCAGATCATAACTGGCTGAGATGCACATTTGACGATGATCGCTTAGAGCGTTCATTTAATATACAGGTGGAAATACGTCCAGCACTTATTCCTCTTCCAGCATTCCTCTTGTGCCCTACAGATAGGCATACAATCAGGAATTCGTACCCGAAACTGGCAGAACTCTATTGGATAGAGGCCACAGTACGTTGGTGCTTTCGCTTTGGATTCGACTGCAGACTTTCATCAGACTATGGATTGGGATCAGTTACACCAACGACGGTGAGGATCGGATACAACCCATCGGATCAAAAAGGATGTGCATTTACATCACTTTGTTGTGAAGTGGCACAGAGTGATGTGCCACTAGGCAGAATGCCGGTGCTAATACATATGAGATCTCCATTAAAGGGCAAAAAAGCAGTAATAGAAGGCAGCATCCATGTACCACGAAAAAAACAGTCAAGCTACTTTAGCACAAATGCAACGGCTTCCCCTCGTAATCAAGCTTCTGTACAGGTGTCAGATGGTTGATGGCACATTCCTGAACATATTCCACGAAGTAAGGCTTCATAAGGCTTCAACAAAAATATCTGTGTACCCATAGAATGAGAAACCAGGGTTGGAGAAATAAAAATGGCCAAACCTGACGCAAAACGGCGGAGTGACTGTTCGAAATCCAAAGCAGATATCACGGGCCTAACCGAAACTTAGCTGAAACAGGTCTGTCAGTGTGTACCACGACGACATACACGAAAGGTGATGTTAAGTCTAAGCGTGCTCCATTGTCATACTTACCTGACGAATTTCGTACGTAGATTCCAATCGGAAAAGTTGAAAATTGCGCAACAGGTAATCTTGCAAAGTGAGAAATTGTAGACCAAGTTTAGGCAGGGCCAAACAGCCCTCTCCGGAATAGTACTGAGTTGGAACGCGGTTTTCATCCCAGAGCAACTCCTCCGTCGGGTAGAGTGACATATTGTTGAGCATCTCCAGGTCGGACTGGCGTCTGGCGAATCGATGTACAAGGATCTGCGAATGACCGATGGACACAGTAAGCACCTTAAAAAGTCCTGACTCGGAGGACCAGTCACTAGTCGGAGTAGGAAATTATTTTACACACAGATTGTTAAGGTTGTCCTGCAACCGATAATCCATTTTTCTAGGTGACAAATGTTTCGTAAATTCCAAATAGCCACAGCTCTCTACATGATTTTCTGACCTGAAAACAGTTACTCAAATAGCGTGGAACATTACTCACAGGTAATAAACATAGATAGTGATTAGTAGGGCCGCATCAGTGTTGAAAATAAAATCCAGAAACATCAAACGAAGATTTCATTTTACTTTATTTTTATTACTTGAAGACCGTCAGTTCCCTGAAACACGAGGAGGCTACTTGAAGACATATAATGCGTTCGTTTCGATCTGCGACCAACGCACAAATCTTCCGTGCCAAACAACACACGGAAGATGATCTCTGCAGTTCTAAAGTGAGGAAGGTAGCACGGGGTTGACACACACAGACCGGCTTACCATAAAACATTTTCACTCTCAAAATATGATGCATCTGTAAAAATTCACAAAAAATAGCAACCCTATTGGTCAAATATTTAGCCCATCATTAGAGTTCAGAAATGCCCACTCGGCGTCCACCTAAAATGATGAAGAGTCGGAGAACGATGCGTCCAATTCAGGTCAGGCGGATGTTCGTAGAACAAAGCCAAACAATACCTGCAGCCATAACCAAAAGAACAATGGCAAATGTAGGAACCCTGAGATAAGTGCTTGCTTATGAAGCACTATAGCGCAGTAGTTGAAAAGTTCAATGACAGGAAATGGGACAACTCGGTGAAATTCACGATATATTGTGTCGGAGCACTGTAAGTAATTGAAAGCTAGTAACAAACACAGTGTTTCGGGAAGAGTCCAACGCAGGGAATTCGATGAAAACTATACGCGGCCCAATAGTAAAGGCAGAGAACCCACCCGCAATAATATATCTTTATCTGTCAGTTTCGCATCTAATGAACTCCGTAGGCTTTCAATTGCTGATCCATCCTCTGTGGAACAGGACTCTAACTTGGCACGTTTCCCAGGTGGAGATGAATTATCCGGGTCGGTATGAGGGCGTGGTGGCACCAGGGCGAAGCAGGCAGCCAAATCGTACAACTCTCGCGCGTTCAGGGCACTCAGGTGTTTCCGTAGTAGCTGACTTGACTCGATTCCAGCTGGATGGGATACTGCTAGGGTGTGCAGCTTCTCTTTTTGAAGAGCAAAAGATTTCAGTTGCAAAGAACTCAGCCGAGCACAGTGTCTAAAATGGCAAGGTTGAACAAACAATGTAAAGCCGAGGCAGTTTTAGGATTTCAGCCAGAGACATTTGTAATACAAGGATGAAAACAATGGGATAAAAAGAGCGTCTTAGACTGAAAAAAGGCAAAACCTGAAAGTATGGTAAACCTTACAAGCGTCACGGATCAATAAAACACCCTCGGACAGTGAATTGAAATTTTCAGTTATAAATCAAAAACAAAATCGGTTTAGGTTTTGGACAGGATTCAGCTCTGACTGGAATAATCAACTACTAAAGAAATAATTTGACTATGTTACGTGGGATTAACTTTGCAAGTTGAAGTAAAATGGGATACGGACGAATAGAGAAAAAAGACTGAAATTGGAAGTACCACCGAATACAATCACGATCCAAAACGGCTGCGTATAAACTTTTGGATAATCCTAATCTGCAGGACACAGTAAAGTCGACAGAGATTCCTACAAAACAGGAAATAATTATGACTGTTACAAAAACCGAAAGACAGGAATCTGAGTATACCTTCAATAAAAGTGGGCACGAATAACCGTGAAACACACAAAACAGTTGCGGGCAGTTGTTCGGTTCCTTAGGCAAAGGCAAATCAAATAGATACCGAAAGCCAAAATACACGGCGGATCGATCGACGAACGCTATGGACTATGAGGGGATAAGAAAAATTAGCGTGAAATTATGCGAAACATTCTATGCCCAATTTTTTGCTCAATAATACCACCTTTCCCTACATGTGGAAAAACCTCACAAGCTCTGCAGTTACTAAATTCGAAACACTTGTTTCTGGTTTCATGGACTGCATGCTGAGCATAGCATTTCATTCATGGGCTGCCGTGGTCTAACTGATCCTCCTGCGAAACAGAATTCGATTACTTGAAAGGTATTAAGGTAAATAAGCAAGTGGTATCAATGGCTTCCAGAGAGCGCGAGTGAATAGGCAAATTGCCGCGCCAACGGCGTAATAGCTCAAAATCCTTGAAGCCCCATCAGCCACGTCATACAAGAGCGAAATCGATCATCTTCGGAGACTTTGAATGCCCCATACATCAGAAATCTTTGGTAGAGTATAATAGTTTTGACAAGCAGCATCGCTAAGTAGGTACGCCGGTACTATCCAAGAGTCGCATGAATTCGTTTGTCAACTTTTGGAATAACATCTTTTTCGAGCAGTGAATTCGTCATCCAGAAAGACTAAGAATGAGGATGTCCAACTACCACGTATGGTTCCTCCACTTTTGTGGAAGCTTTGGAATATTGATTCCACATAAAAGGCTTGCGGCACCTAAATGTCTGAAAGTTACGATCGCTGAGGATCACAGGTGTGAACGAAAGCAGATTCGTCGAACAAGGTGGAAATGACATCATTGTAATGGATGGTAGTAATGAAATGAAAAATTAGTGACCTCAATGATCCAGCTGTTCGCTGAACCTAAACGTTTCCCCACTAATCCCCACATTCCGTCATCGAAAGTATATGAGGTATTTTAGCTCACAACGGACAGGTAGCCCTATTTTGCCTGGGGTGGAAATGCCAGGATGGCTCTGTTTCAGCCTGCTTCTCCGTACCTACCAAAAGTAGCTCCCTTGATGAAGCCTTCCTTGTAGATACTAGTTAGGTGAATACCAAAATGGACAAAACAGCTTAAACTTGCACCATTTTGAAGTCGCTACTGACCTCAATATTAGGGTTTCATTTATCAGTGATTGGCCTTATTTCACGGATGCGTGTGTGCGATTTATTCACGTGATGATAAGGTGGTCAGAACAAATGACCGCTTGTATAGGTCCAATTCCTCATTTGCCCATATCAATTTAATCGTCCAGCTGTAACACCCTTTCGGTGCCTAGGTGCCATGCCACCAGAAGGACGCGCGAGGACTGGGATACTGCCAGGTTGCCCAAGCCTAGACAGGGGAAGTCAAGAGGCAGAGTCGGGTTTGAACCAAGGACCTTCTGGTCAGGAAATTCGCCATCTAACCACTGGGCTATCTCTGCCCGGCCCATATAACTGGAGGTATTCTACTTCCTTCTCGGGTCAATCAACTTGGATGTCTTCAATTCCAGGACTTAAAGCATACTAGTCGCGGTCATTATATGCTTTAATCGACCGCCGTCTAAAGGTTCTACCGTTGAAGGTGTAACGTATCACGAAACCGAACCAACACAGTGTAATGCAACCATTCAGTGAGGGTCAGTGCGGTATTGATTGACCTCTCGCAAGCATTCAAACTGGTTTTGGAGGGATAAAGAGTCGATTGTTACACGCGTTTCAGTGAATGGGTGTTCACAAAAGAACCCAGGAACACATGACCCTAGAAATGCAGCCGACTCAAAAAGCATCGAACCAAGAAGGTAGGGCAGTTAGCCAAAATATGCGAGGATCAATGAACATAGCAATCAGATTCAACAACCTGGGTTCATGCACATATTTACATCAATCCCGTTAGATACCTTGCTGCGAAAGTGCACTTAGTTGACACCATGCGAAACTGCGCAGTGACCTGGGATAGGACGGTTGATAAAGCGGGCTTCAAGTTTCGTAGTATAAAAATTTACCCGTTTTCCGATGAGATATGCCGGCACTACTTTCAGTTTAATATGATGAATGAACGCAGAAGCGCTCTAATCCCACCAGGGATGTGGAGACCGATTTTGTACATCTACCAATCACTCGTATGCACTTTCGTGGGTTTCGTGTGGCTTCCATATTGTTATTTTCTACCCAGACTTTATTCATGTAGACCGAGATGGCGGTTGTACGGCAGTGAGGCAGCAGTATTCTCATCTGGCTTTGATGTCAGTGATGATGAGGATGGCGTGCGCCACGATCGAAGTACACCAAAGATAAACAAAACAACTTGAAATATTGAAAGTCAACTGCATTATGTCTAAGATGTGATTACCTCTTGTCCATTTCGTTTTCATCCAGTGGGTCGCCGGTGCTCTCATCAATTTGGAAGTGGGCATAGAATGCCAACATATCGACCAGTTCGGAAAACAGCTTGCCTTCAGGTCGCTTTCTGAGACTTGCAGCTTGACATCGCACAACCAAATGTCGATCGTCTATGATTGCATTGAGCAGACGGCGTGTGAGCAGCATGCTTTCGAGATCCACGAAAAGTAGTATACAACGCTCCAAATAATGCACGAGCAGAGGTTCCAAACGCTGGATTTTTTGAAAATAAAAAATGGTCCTTATGAGGAGATAGAGAAACTGTACATCAATGGTATATAAAGACAGGCTTCTTGAAGCAAGATATATCTTTGGCGGGGACTGTCTCCATGGGGGTACACCTTCATCTATAAAACGAGCATTCGCTTGAGTTGGATCGTTTTTGTATCAGCTAATTACCTCTTTCCATTTCGTTTTCATCCAGTGGGTCGCCGGTGCTCTCATCAATTTGGAAGTGGGCATAGAATGCCAACATATCGACCAGTTCGGAAAACAGCTTGCCTTCAGGTCGCTTTCTGAGACTTGCAGCTTGACATCGCACAACCAAATGTCGATCGTCTATGATTGCATTGAGCAGACGGCGTGTGAGCAGCATGCTTTCGAGATCCACGAAAAGTAGTATACAACGCTCCAAATAATGCACGAGCAGAGGTTCCAAACGCTGGATTTTTTGAAAATAAAAAATGGTCCTTATGAGGAGATAGAGAAACTGTACATCAATGGTATATAAAGACAGGCTTCTTGAAGCAAGATATATCTTTGGCGGGGACTGTCTCCATGGGGGTACACCTTCATCTATAAAACGAGCATTCGCTTGAGTTGGATCGTTTTTGTATCAGCTACAACGAATTGAATTGGAGGATAGTCTCTAGGCCCCGCCAAACTTTAACGGGAACACGAAAATAATGCGACCTCTAGAAACAGTGTCTTGTTCCGGATCTGTCGAGTTCAGCTCTTAAGTTGAGGACAGAACAAGGCGTTGATCCTAATGCTTTAGATGTCTCCCTGTTATCAATGGAGCCGAAAGGAAAATATCATTAAAAGCCAACTCCGATCATGGTGAGGGTTGGTTCCGTCGGTCGAGCAAGGCTGGCTGAGTGAAACTTGTTTGGATACCTGCCGAATTAGTTCGTGAACTTGCATCGTCTAGCTTTGAGGATGCGTTCTGGTGAGCTTTGATAAGAGCGAAATTGGAGTCCAGCGTTAACACATTTTGGTGGGGACTAACCAGAACGAATGCACCCAGTGGGTCATTTGGACGGGTGGTGTGAAAATAAGTTCTACCAGTATCGCAATAACGATAATGATCTGCGTCAAGTTTCATCGCGAGAAGTCTCACAACTAAGAATTGTGAAAAATGTATCGTAAATCAGACACTAACATTTCAAAATATAATAATAGATTTGGAGAAGTAGTGTTGGAGACCATCCTGTCTGACACAAACGAATTCATGGTCGACGATCATTGGATCATATGACACTGGCGGAGAAGTAGATGGTATGACGCTCATATATGCCGCAACTCTGCGCTCTACCAGACTTAAAAAAGGAGAAATTCCTTGATCCAGTCTTGTCATAAGCGGTTTGCCATACCTGAAGATTGGTGCACGTGCCTAACTCGGTTGATTAACGTCAATATGATATTTGGTCTTTCTCTAAGAAAGTCATCCTGGAGGAGACAATCGACTTATTAGATGCACGATTCACTAAATAAACAGAGTAAACCAGTCTGTCTTCTGCAATGTTTCGCAACCGACGTTTCTGTCTCTAATGCTGATGAGTACTTCTAAATCACGGAATCGAGGCGAGTGTTTCAAGAGGGTGCGAAGTTTTTGTAGGGACACCACAGTTCTTTCATCCAAAATTACCCCTATTCTGGGCAACATAACACAAAAGTCGCTGGTACTAATTAGGTATCCACTTGGACAACCATTTTCAAAAGCAGACTTCCAGTCACGCCACACTGAGTCCAAGCTATCAGCCTAACTGGTGCTAAATGTACAGAGGCTTCCTTCCTCCAGCGCCTGAGATGAGCACTAATATTAAGGAATACGCTAGAGATTGTCCTAAATATGTCAACAAAATGCATACAAACACCCGAGACTAAACCCAAAGCCTCGAATTCGTCTCTATGCACAGGGGTAATTCCAAGTTACATGAATTTTACCATAAAAAACACAGGCCTTCAAATAGAGACCCTGATCACGCTGGAAACCACATGAAAATATCCTTTGGGGAAGAAAAAATTAGCTCCCTTGAAAACCCGCCAAGCAACTCACCTTGTCTTTATCATCTGAAGGAATGGTATCTAACAGACTGAGAAATATATCGATAAAATGAGGGATGAAGGAGTGTTGCACAGCCAAATTAGCGCGTTCCTCAGGCGACAGGCATGATTGGCTCTTGGTTATTTTTTTAATCATTCGCGCGTATCTCGGATGATTGGCGAGTTCCTGTTCCAGCCGCACAGGATGCATGTGGTCACGCCATACAGAAAGGCTGTAGAGCTCACGTAGACACTGCCGCAAAACACCAACTTCGGCGAGATTAGTGAAGCAGTGTGAGAGGAAAATGAGCAAGACGATGTGTTCCAAAAAGAGTTTGCGCTGTTTGACCTCGTCCATTGAAGATGTCGCTGAATCAGTTGGCTCCTGGCCGCTGTTTTCTTGACTGCCCACCGGGTGCTGTAAACCTTTCCGATAACTAATCAACGAGGGGGATTCCTCTAACAATAGTTGGAGCACACGTTGTACCAAGCCGTTGAATTGATTTGGGGTAGCCACGAAGATCTGAAGGGACAGTTGGGTAAACCGAATAGATTCCATCTAATTTACCTAGGTCACTGAAAATAAGAATTTTCTTCCGGCAAAAAAGTCCCGACCTGAGAACTCTACCAATGTAATGAACCCTCCGTGCGAGTACTGAGAACATGCTAAACGATCTATGGAGCCTCACAGTGAGAACTACAACATCCAGGATATTTTCGTCCAGTTCGCTTCTATGACTCGAGTTGACTGATGGACTCGTCTAACAATATCCACATGCATAGCTGGAAAGCGACAGCGAAAAGCTACTGAGAAAGCACATTAGCTGGTTCCATTTCGACAGAGCCTGGGATGTTAGCATCTTCACTAGGGATCCAAACTGTTGACCTTTCAAACCCCTAATTAAGAGCACTTTGGTTGATGAAACTTAGTTAAGCACTGACAACTAGCAACATGTAGTACGCAACCAGCTCATTGTGAGCTCCAACGGTGGACTTTATCGACTTTATCTATGTGAACTGACACTCTATAGGAGGAAAATGGTTCCGTAGAAAAAAGATCGGAGACAATCAAGAAAGCTACCACATGTTTTCTTCCCCACATCCTAATTTATGAATACAGCTGAAGAAGGTATATGTGGTTATTGTTAGCCAGAAGTACGCTCATATTGCAGACAAATAACTCTGGGTTTGTGTGAGCCACTTCAAACGCTAATATGTTCAGCGATCTCAAATCTAATAGCGGATTGATCTATTGTACTGTCCGGCACTTTTTCATTCGACCTCGACAAATGATATGCACGGAAGAAGTCAACATGAGTGAGATCAGGCGGTATGAATTATCGGGATCCGTTTAAGGCAAACAGCCAAGAAGGTGTGAATGAACGACAAGCCAAGACTGATTACGCTTGTTGTATATAACTGGTCCGTGAAAAGGTCACCGCTATAGTACAAGAGAAATCCACTTGCCTGCCAAATAGGAACACGACCGCGGGACTTCTCGTTGACCATTGCACAGATTGATAGAATATGTGCCCGGGTTGATGTATCCGGATCAAAATGTGGCCACAACCATTTTTCTAAGTACTGATTTAGTTCCAGTGCAAAGCAGCGTCTGTGAGAAAAACCGGAGGTGAGTAGCTCTTCGCGGTAAATTCGTTCCATCACTGTTTGGACCAGTGGTCTCAACGTGGTAGTCGACTTTGTCTGATCCGATTCTGAGGTGGATTTCGGAAGCCAGTAAGTACGGGCCAACTGCCCGATACGATCCTGAGCCACATAGTCTACTGAATCACGGGATGCCATTTAGCTAAAATTGGAGAAAAAGCGCTTGTAACTGTTTCCAACAAACAGGAGATATGGTTAGATATGAAACACCTGTGTACGTCAAGCATACACAGCGATAAAGACGCATTCAGGTTCAAGGACCCGAAAAAGAAGGCCAAATTTACGAGCCAATAAATCGATTTGGTTGGAAGCGACCCTGTCCGGCAAGACGGGGGCACAGTTGAATGTCAAAGTCACTCCTAGAACAGGTCCCCGTTAGTCGAACCATTTATATATCTTAAGAGGTCAAATATTCCTCAGATGTGGTGTCTAAGGCAGGGTCAGGTACCATACACAACCCAAGAACATCCGATTCACTGGGACAGACGACATGTAGAGAATAGAATTCTTCCCACTACGACCCTCTCTTCGGGAACATTTAAGAACCATACAGGGTACAGTTCCCGACTTTCAGAATGGATAAAATTACTGCCCTGTTATCCAATGAGTGTCGGCTGTCATTGTTGTACATTTTCAGGCTGAATGTCAAGCTCAAATCATCAATGTCGTAAGTACTGTCACCAAACCATTCTGCGATGCCACCATCTCCAACTTGTTCTCCATGAAAAAATGAGTTGATACCGGGTGTCTTGGTATGGGAACCAACCTAACTTGTCCTTAAGAATTAAGGTTTCTGGACCGCGGGACTAGCAACAAAAACCATTAGGAATCCCTCACTGTGACATCGGCTCATGTGCATCTCTTCCTCCTTTATGTCAGTAGCAGGGTAAACCACCTGTATGGTCCACATTACACTGTTTCCCACAGCTGAACCCCCGATTATTTCATTCATTGTTCCATACGAAAGAACTTTCTGCCCATCACTCCGTGCTACCCATGTGTTCCAGGTAACCAAAGGTCCTTTGATGCCATTTGGAAAGCTGGAGGCCTCAGGGTTAGGGTAAGTGATGGACACGCACGTCCTCTAGTCTAGTGAGGAAATGAGGTTCATCGCACCTTGTTTATTGTTTCTGCTTACGCCCCAACTGACTGTAGCTCTGAATCTGCCAAGGACAGTTTCTATGACGCTCTAGGTGCCCTTCTACAACAGGCTAAAAGCTCAGATATCGTTGTGATTGCTGGTGATATGAACGCCCAAGTAGGTAGACTAAGCGTTGCTGAGGCCCGATTGGGTGGTCGTCTTGGTTTGGACAGCGGAAATCGCTTGACAACGTGGTGCCCACCATCAAACCAGCGCCGAATCCAAATAGACAACATCGCCGTCAGTTATCGGTGGTGAGGGTCGATCACCGCCTGCCGCTCCTTTTGGAACACCAGCGTGGACTCCGACCATGCACTTGTACGCTGCTGCTTTTCATTGCGCTTTTCAG